GGAAATGTTTTGTTGAGATTCTTCGAATGAAGAGAAGTTGTAGTAATTCTTTTAAATGAGAAAAATTGCATACGGTCTTTATTATTGAACAGAGAATGGCTCTTTCAAAATGAGCATTTGCCACAGATGTTGTGAGATATCTTAACAAATTTATTTTAAAATTACAAGCAAAACAGTACTTGTATGTGCAATGTATTTTATTTTAAAGGCATATCCAAGACCGTATTTAGATTTGACGAAATCCTAAGCTATTTGAGATATGGGGCCTTTTATGATGGATATGAGTCAATATTTTTAATATTGTATAAATTATATATTGTTTTTAATATGCTGTATAATTAATATGGGATATGTTACATTATTTTGGGGGGGGGAAGAAAGTGAGGGCCCTAAGCTGTAACTTGTTCAGCTTATATGTAAATTTGTCACTGGGCAAATCACCGAAAATTTGCATTGTTTGAAACGCTTCTAACATTACACAAATTTGACCATTTTCCATGCTGTAAAAAATTTAAAATGTTAGTGAAATCCTCATTTACAAAAACATTGGTGAAGGATATATTTTCTGAACTTATACTACAGTTACAGTAGTTTTTTCTAAATTTTGATATAACCACAACAGACATTTCTGTGTGTCAATATCTGTTTGACTGTATAATTGAAGACTTTCTGTAAGAGCTTCAACTAGATGTGACTGATTTGCAAAAGTATATGTTAAAACATGTTTAAAGAAAAGTATGTAAATCTTTCAGAAGATAAATACCCATAATTAAAATCTTATGAAAGCAAAAGAATGATTAGTGATAATTTTTGAGGATTGGTCAAATATAGAAAATGTAGTGTATGTAAAAAATACTCTAGTAAGACTTTCTAGTATCAGATATTTTCAATAAAACTGACTCCTTGCCAAAAATACCCCTAAAGCCATCCAAGGTTCGAATTTGAGTTAAACCATTGATATTCAACAATTTTATGCACTTAAGCCACATTTAAGCTATTTTTTTTAAACCCTATTTTGTAGATTTCATATTTTTAATTGGTATTGTTGCTTTGTCAAGTTTACTAGGTATCAGCTTTTACAGCAAAAATTAGCTTATAAATTATCTTTTTCAAAGAATATACAGAATTAAACTGGGACTGTGTTAATCTCAATAAGATTGATTTAATTCACAGTGGAACTGGACTTGAATAAAACCAGGTTAACAATATATAAATAAGCAGTATTTTCTATTATTTTGTAATCAGATCTTAAGAATAGATTTTCTACAGTTTTTGAAAATGGTAACCAACTGCATTTCCGTATATTTGCTTCCCCCCCTTATGTTACATAATTCAGCATTATCTGCACACTTTCAAATGAAATTTATAATAGTTGCTACTAAAACATTTTTATGACTTCATTCACTATTATGCTGTATGCATGCAGAAAGCCAACTTTGAGATTTTGCCAAAGACAATGAAAACTGCAATATGCTATCCACCACTAAGCTATTAAAAAAAAAAAAAAAAATATAGTTCCCATAGGAGGGATCATAATCTGCAGTCACACAAGTGAAAATGTCCAGAGAAGGGCAAACCATCTAGAGGAATGCTACACACAAATCTGGGTTGCACAATAAATACTGCAAGATTGTGGTTTGCCACAGGAATGTTTTCAGATGACATGGTGCACTGCTTCATCAGTACTTTTTATGGCTTATTGGTGGAGTGTCAAAAAAATTAACTGCCAAAATATATTACAGTTGTACAGAAATAGATAAATTATGTATTTAAGGGACAATGCAGTGACTGCCCTTACCACCAGCCAAAAATCCTCCATCTACTTCACAGCCTCTTTCTGCTCAGACAGTTGGAGATGTAGGGATTTCCTGTGAAGAGACTTCTATAAATTTTCAAGTTTTTGCTACATAATGTAGTTTTATTAAAGAAACTGGCAAACATATGGTACACTTTATAATGACACACTACTAAATTTAAAAAAGAAATTGGAAACATTCATAATTGGGCTACATCAAAAACAAAACATGTTGATATGCCAACCAAACCAACTAAAAATAAATGGAACTTTAGTTTAAAAAATTTAAAGTACTTTCTTAGGATTGCGGCTTCCATTTTTTAAACTCCAAGCTGGCGGCATAAGAAACATTTCATGGTTCCAAATATTTTCGCCACATGAACTCTGCAAGTTAAGACTCATGGTGATAGTGAAACTTGCCTCATCAATTTTTATTCCACCACTTAGTGGAGCTACATAGTCTTTCAGTACTTTGTGTACAAACAGATGTTGTTAGATCAACAAAATGAAAGTTATGGTTCTCAGTAAAATATCTGTCAGCTTCTTTTTTTAGTTTATTTTATATGCACACCAAAAGTTTGAATAAATTATCATTATACCTTGTATATTTTCGATAATTTTTACAATGAGTATGATTCTTTCTATTCAGAAGAGTGAGAAAGAATTTCTCAATTTCTTGCCATAACTTATCAAATGTCCAGTATTATGAAAGAATCTTGCCAGCTTTGATTTTTCTCCATATGAACAGATTTCCACAATTTTTTCATGGCCTGTTTTACCTGTTCACATATTTGAATATTGAATTATATGCAGAAAATAAATCTTTCTTATAGAACTGTTCCAGTGAATAGTCTTATTTTTGTATTCCTGCTTTCGTCTTAACATTAAATAAATCACTTCACTGTTACAAACGGTATTCTAACATAACCACTGAGCCAGTTGTTAAAACATATACTTTTCCTTCAATTGCACCTCTAAATGCTTTCCGTGATGTAAAGTTAAATTTAACGGCCATTTTCGCATATTCGAATGCAAAGTAAATCTTGAAAGAAAGCTGTGGCAAGCATCTTCCTTACATCTCAGCAAATTAAAAATTTTAAAATAGTAAAATAAAAAGTAAATTACATGAATATGGGAAATACTGACAGGTCTTTTTGTGATGGGAGAAATATGAGTGATTATTAAGATTTACAATAAGAAAATATAATATAGTTTACTTAAAGCTCTTCTTATCAGAAGCAAACCTTAAATAATTCTTGTTAGAACTGCTAAATGTTTGAAGATGGTTTACATTTGCAATTTATCAAAAAATTTGGCCCCTTTACAAAATGGGGCTCATAATAATAAGGAAGTAACAATATTACATGCTTACTAAAGCTGGGTTTCATTTATTTCTATATGGCGATCTGCTTAAGAGGAAGGATGTCATTATGGAGAACTTTCTAAGGGAAAATAGCTTGTATCCACATTAGAAACATTAGAAAAGCACGGGATCTATTTTTGAATTCATTTCTAAGCCTTAAATTGATATTAACTTTCAATGAAGTCACCTTAACATTTTCATGGAGGTTCATTCATTTTAAAATTTAAATAGTGTCATTAAATTTCTGATTTAAAGTGTGGTTGCTATATATTTTTAAAAACTATTTAGAACAAGCTTATGTACAGATAAAAAATTATGAACATATAAAACTATTAAAAAAAAGCACCTTCCAGTATGTCTTCTGTTTAAATATATTACATGATAGTTCTTCCATCCAAACACTATATAAATAATCTGTATGTAAACCAGATTTCTTTCAGATATATAATAAAATAATAAAGGATGTCACATTTATTACAAAAAAGGTGTATAATTTTAAATCCCTTCATTCTTCATTTGAATAATATATAGATAAGCAAATGTGAACTTTTCCCCTAATACTGTGTAGAAATTCAAGCTCAAAATGTTAATTATTAGGTGAAAAGTATTGCAAATATTAACATAGACTTGCAGACTGAAATCTCATATATTACACAGTGACTTACAATAAACACAAGACTGTATTGGGAAGATATACATGCTAAAAGTTTTCATGCAGAATTTCTCTACTTCACAAACCTGAATCATGCAAAAGAGTGTATTCTTGATGTGGCATCATTCTTCATGTAGAAATAGATGTCTTGTGATCTCCCTCCACATCTGGGGATTTAGGGCTGCCCTAGTGAATTAAGTCAGTTGGTGCACAAACTTCAGTGTCTTTCTTGCCCACTTGCTGAATTGCTTGTTTTTGCATAAAACCTCTTAATTTTAATTGAAAAAGTGATTTTTTAAGCCATTTTTAACTATATTTGGTGTTTTAGTTTTTTCCTTTTTACAATTTTTAATAGAGGTGGTTTGCGTTTTTATGTATTTTTACCTTGTGCGGATTGAGAACTGAATTGATTTAATGAGAAACATATCTCTAATGAAATTTGAGAAAATAGATTTAAATGAAGTGAAGCAAAAAAATGTATATAATTGAATAGGCTAGTGCAAGGAAGTCATGTGGTGTCCATACTAGATTTTTTATATTTAAGTAAAATTCTAAGCATTCATATTAGCCATATTAAGTGTTGTATAGTAACAGGACTTGATAAAGGAATATTATATAATTCAGTTCTTCATGCAGTGCACAATTTATGTATAAGCTACACAAGTTATAGCTTGGAGCCCCCACTTTCTTGGAAGCCCTAAAAAATTATATAGTATAACAGACTTATAAAGGGCCCCCTCTCTCAAATAGATAAGAGCCTTATCAAGTCTAAATCCAGCTCTGTCTTTATGGAATGCGTCTGATGAGAATTTCTTACTTTGGAAGATGATTTGTTTTCTGTTGTTATGTGCATGCACATACACAAAATTAGAATGAAGTTCACCCTTATGTTGTATTGTTTTGTTGGAGACTGCATTTAAAGTATTTTATGTATTTGTAACTGTTAATAGTTTCAGTAAATGGTTAAAGAAGTTTCATGCAATTGGGATTAAGAGTCTATTTTTCTTTATATTAGAACTTAATAATGGTAGCTCAGTGTATATTTGATTGCTGCATTTAGATTTATTGCAACATTTAGATCATTATTAAAAGTTTAGTTTGCTTCAAAACAAACTTTTCTGACAGTGATTTGCTAACCTGATATTAAAGACAGTTGCTTCTCTTTCTGTAATGTTCTTATAATGTTTCAGCTATTTCTAATGAAAAGTTGAAGATATATGGTGTTCAGTTCCACCCAGAAGTTGATTTGACAACAAATGGGAAGCTTATTATGAAGAACTTTCTATATAATATAAGTGGCCTGTCTGGAAATTTCACCATGCAGTCTCGTGAAGCTGAATGTATTGAATATATTAAGAAACATGTTGGGAAAAATAAAGTTTTAGTAAGTTTTTGTATTTATGATAAATTACATTTTATTAATAATATTTCAGCTTGAAATCAGTAGAGTTTTGAAGTCCCTCCCCAGAGTAGTATTTTTTTTTTTAATTATGTGCTGTGCTGAATGGCTTTATAAATTTATATTGATTATATGATTTATGCTTCTGAAATTATTTAATGTGAAAATCTTATTTTTTAATATTCCTAAGATTTTTTTCCTTTTCTTTTTTCTATTTTTCTTCCCCCCTTTTATTTTTACTAATAGCATTTTCTGCTGCGCAGAATTTTAGTCATCTGATTAGAATTTTGAAATCTGTCCTGTAAAATTTTAAAAACATATATATCTGCTATATTCATTTAGAAGTATTTTTAAAACTGACTAATATGAATTTGTTTCATTTTTATTTTCAAGATGTTAGTAAGTGGAGGTGTAGATTCTACAGTGTGTGCTGCATTACTACATCAAGCTTTGAAAGAAGATCAAGTGATAGCTATTCATATAGACAATGGATTTATGAGAAAAAATGAAAGTTTGCAGGTTGAACTCTCTCTCAAGAAGCTGGGTTTAAAATTAAGAGGTATGGCTTGTTTTGTTTTATGTGCCTTGTGTGTAATTTTGTATGTATAATATTTTTTTTTTTTTTTTTTTTTTTTTTTTTTTTTTTTTTTTTTTTTTTTTAAATGCCGTATTTTAGCAATGGGAAAAAGTAGGAAAATACAGTACTCATTATGAAAATTGGAAGTAATGAAAAATAAACTTGTTTAAAATCAGTCAATATACAGCAAATAAGCTTACTTTTTTAATACTTTGACTGCCGCTTCATCCGTATTCAGGTGATTGCAAAAATTCTGATCAGGGTGCACCATCCGTATTCGGGTGACAGTTCTTTGAGTATATGCGAGGTAAAGTAGGTATTTGAAAAAATAATTGTTTTGTTGGAAGAAATGAAAATTATCATTGCTGACAGCTAAATTCATTCCATTCACTAAACTGAATTGTCCTTTCTTCAGTATCAACTTTTTTTCTTCCTAAACAACCAATTCTTGTAAATATGATTAGTTGTATCTACATTACATTTATCAGCACGCAAATCAGAATCTGTAGATATAATTTTGTTTATAATTATCTTTCTGAAAAATCTAGACTGTTCTTCATTACTACTATTTGAATTTTTGTAAGCTTCATAACAGGTTTCTTCTTCCCTGCTATATGACTCGCTTAAAAATTACTCTGTCATTTTTCTTTTAGACATTGAAAAAAGTTGGGACAACAATTTTAATACAAACAAATTTCAAGTATTTGTCTCTGCCAAAAAAATATTAGGAAAAGAAGGAAATGTTTGAATCTTGCACTCTTTTTTAGATATCGTTGTTGATGATTTTTAAACTGAATGCATGTCCCAAAATGTTTCATTCTGAACTCCTACAATCGGAAACGATGTATGATATAGCAGTGCTCGTGGCCTAAAGAAGATTTTCTTTCAAACCTGAATGGCAGTCAACGTGTTAATGCTTAAAAAGTAATGAAAATTATTAATTTATCAATGCTTAAGGCCAAAAATATCCGTTACCTCAATTTCTACCTTTAAATAATTATTTAACCCTTTGATATATGCGAGATTAAGCATTTCAGTACTCTTCTGTAATGAATGTTTGTGTCTACACATATATACAAACATGCATGCATGCATATATACATGGATACGTTTCTGAATCCGGTCCCGATAACAGAAGAGTACCAGCAATTCTTTTTTCCCAAATACATGCTATATGTCGTAAATTTGTATTACGAACTGATTCATTTGTACTCACATTGCAACAGGGATATTTTTGGCCTTAAGCATTGATAAATTAATAATTTTCATCATTTTTTAAGCATTAACACATTAACTGCCATGCAGGTTTGAAAGAAAATCTTCTTTAGGCTACGAGCACTGCTATATCATACGTTGTTTCTGGGTGTAGGAGTTCAGAATGAAACATTTTGGGACACGCATTCAGTTTAAAAATCATCAACAACGATATCTAAGAAAGGGTGCAAGATTCAAAAATCATTTTCTTCTTTTCTTAATATTTTTTCGGTAGTGACAAATGGTTGAAATTTTTTTGTATTAAAGTTGTTGCCCCAACTTTTTTCAATGTCTAAAAGAAAAATGACAGAGTAATTTTTAAGTGAGTCATATAGCAGGGAAGAAGAAAGCTGTTGTGAGGCTTACAAAAATTCGAATAGTAGCTGGAATGTGAGCTGAGCTCATTCATGACTATCAAAAAGTTAAAGTATGTAATAGAGAAATAGATAATTATAATTCAGATTTCTGAATATTTTATTATCATTTATGCAATTTGGAGTAAAAATATATTTCAAGGTACACCTTGGTGAAAATTGGCGATTTTTTGGTGCCATTCCTATTTAAGTCCGACACTCTGCCCACTAAAATGGCATCCAAAACATAATGCAATGAAACTTAACTAAAACAAAAAATATATAATCTCAATAGACTGCATTTTAAATCAAACAAGGAAATACATGTTATCTAATCTATGCAATACAAAAGGAAATATCGACTTACCTTATTTAAAAATTTCTGTTTCTTCAGTATGTGTGACACACAGAATTCCTTAACAGCATCCAAAAACTACTTAAAACTATCTAAACTAGAATCTGTATACTGCCATCGCCGCATAAATTGGCAAAAGTAAAATGAATATATAAATGAAAGAATATCCTACATACTGCCGGAATGTCAGTGACATTTCTTTCAAAAATCCCTTTTTATTACACCCCACATACCTTCCATAGTGTTGATATGATCTCCGGTTTTCAAATCTTCAAATCCTTAAATCTCGCTGCATAATTTACCAAGAGGTGAACGAAGCCATTTAAATCTTCATTTTTCATTTACACACCAGTCGATCAATGTTTTTCTTTCCCATTCCAAAGTGTACAGAAACTTCAAGTTAATCGTACCACCAGCAGGCATTTTATGGTGTAAAGCACAAAATAAGTAACGTACTTTGTAACCAACATCCAACTCATAAATAAGCCCTTACAAATATTTTCCCCAACAGTTAAAACCACTGCAATCACGCTTTACAACCAATCTTCGTAATAGGGTTTCCATAACATTTAATGTAAAATGCTCTTACCATAAAATGAAGCAACAACTTGGCAATAATCCAAGTGGTACCCTAAAATATAAACTAAGTTTATTACTTCCATATCCAATATTTATAGAAAAAGTTCTTAAATATGAAATATAATATTTTTCTGTCCATCAAAATTCAGATATGCTACTGAAAATTTGAAATTATGAATCACATGTTTAAATTTTTACTTTAAATTATTTGCTCTTAAATTATATTAATAATTACTTTTGCAGTGTAAAAAAATATTACTGTGAACTGAACATTTTTCATTAGGTATTAAATTGTTATGCCAAATATATATTTGGTAAATGTAATTTGAAACTAATTTTCCTTTTTGCCATATTAGTATTGAATGCATCCCAGAATTTCTACAATGGCTCAACTACCGTTCCTGTCGACAGAAAAGATCCAAATAGTAGGAAACGAGACACGCTAGTGTTATGTATGACTACAGATCCAGAAGAAAAACGAAAAATTATTGGCGATACTTTCATGAGGGTAAGCATTTAACGATCTGATGTTTTTGTATCTTAGATTGAGTATGCTGTTTTTCATTAAACTAATTTATTTTTATATATCATTTTTTTATTTTTTAATAGTTGTTTTTGTAGCTTGTGCTTTCTTTTTTATATCACAGCAGTCTGAATATAAGATATTTTTCTCCTGTATTGTAAAATCAACAATTTATGAATGTGAATAAACCATCCATAATGAATCGTTTATAGATAAATTGCCCTCCTAAAAGCTATACTTGTTTTATACAGGGTGATACAAAAGTCATACGCATCAAAATTTCAAAAGTTGTGAAAGTTCCTAAATGAATATTAATGGTAAAAAAGTATTTCAATGAATGACACCCCTATACTATATTGGAAAATGAGAAGAATAATTTGAAGAAAGTTTCATCTCTTTAAGAAGCATCAGTGGATAGTTATAGATTTATTGTTCTCAGATAGTTCCTATAGGTTTTATGTTTTTATTTTAGAGTTCATTCATCAAATCATAAGTAAAACAATATGTCTACTTAAATACATGTAACAAGTAACAAATCTTGTGACAGTCCTAGGGCCAAAAAAGGTGCTGTGCCCAAGTGCTTAGTACCAAGAAATTCTGCTTTTCATGTAACAAGTGGATTCTCCTTCGTGAAAAAAGGATTTTCCTTTGCGAGAAAAATTTAAGATTTTTTTTTTTTAGTTTTAACTCACAATAAGAATCCCCTCTTTCACAGAACAACTACTGGTCAATTTTCCTAATTGTGGTTGTGTAAATTTAATGAATTACAGCAAATGCTTTTCAATTATATTTATAATTTATAGCAATGTAAATAATTAGATGCCATTTTATATAATTCATGAATACATAATTACCTAATTTTAGTTAGTATAGTATATAGACTCGAAGAACACATTCAGTACTTTCAAAACTTGTGTGTGAGATCATTTTGCATGCAAAATCTTCCTTTTCTTGTACAGAACTTTGAAAATGTGAAGCTGTCTTATATTCATGCCAATATATTAATTTTATGTTATTTCATTAAAATGCTATAAAATTTATGCTTAACTTGGGTGTGATGTCAAATCATGCATTTTCACTCAGTAGTTTTGAATATTTTGTATTTATGAAAAATACAAAATCTCTTGTAAATGTACATTAAAGGTAAATGTACATTAATCTAAAATACCTCAAGTTTTATTTTAGATTAATGTACATTTACCTTTGTAAAAGCTTGTTTGGTGTGCTTCATTTGTGCTTTCGTGTACTGTATGCATAGAGATGCGACTATTATGGATTTTCAGTAATTATTACTGATATGTGCTCTCTGTGATAGAATTACATATGTGACAAGAATTGCTACAGAAAATGGCAGTTTGAATTGCATGATTTCTTTATGCAAATGAACAAATGTGAAAGATCAAAGCTTGTGATTGTACTGCTGTTACGATTGATTCCCAAATTGTTCTGCCCCATAGTAGATATATTTCAACTCAAACTGACATGCCAACTTCACATGCATGTGTTATGTCAGGCTTCAATATGTTGCTTGTTAAAATAGTAAATGTGTATTTTTATTAAAAATGTTATGATAAATGTACTTGCATAGATTTCAACCTACAGCAAAATTTGTCAGTACTTAAATGTGTAAATGACTCTTTTTTTACTTTGAAAATGTGCATGGAAGGCATATTTTTTTAGATAAAGATTTGCTAATTTTTAATTAACATTAAATACATTAAATCAATACATTTTTTATTTAGGATATAAGAAATCTAAATATCCCAAATATAACAAATCTGAAGCATTCAAAATACTTCTTGTAACATATTTAAATAGAAATTTTCATTTTATATCACTATATTATTAAAGCTCCAATATTTAAATCTCAAATAATCATAGAGTGTATTAGAATCCATATATACTTATATATTTTTATGAGGTTAGGGGATTCTGATTTCTGCAAGAAAATAAAATGAAGGGAAAATTACATTATAGAGAGGCAAAAAATATGTGTAATCATCAATAAAATATTTATAATTCATATATAAATTATGAATGTTAAGATTTATAAGTAGCATGCTTCGCAAGTGTAAGTTCAGAATCGGATAATCTTTTCATATAATATGGTTCTTCGTTTATCTATCTGTAGGTATACTTTTCCAATGAGAACAGTTTTATGAGTTTCATGTCTAAATTTGATTGAAATGCAGTACATATTATTTATTTATTTATTTATTTATTTATTTATTTTTGGTAATAGAAAAAATTCTTTTAAAAATTGCATTTGATTGAAATTTTCTTTTACTGTGGCAGAATCTGGAAATGCGTGTAAAACCTGCTTTGAATATTTGGCAACTGAAACTGGAAGGCTGAATTAAAAATTTTATAAAATAGCATTTGACTTTTTATTATATACATTTTATCAGTTTTCATGAATGAATTTGATATTTCTTTCGATTATACAACATTAATTTCTTTTTACCTTTGAGAAAATACATGCTGTGTACAGTCACCATTTGTGCTGTGTGCAACTAAGTCTTTGTCACTAGTGAGTACATGTGAGTAGATAAAAACTTATCACATGAGGAGAAATTAAGGGTAACAAAAAGGAAATGTCATTTTTATAATATAAAGCATATAAAAGAAATAAAGAGTTATAAAGAAATACACAACTTAGCCATTTTAATAAATTTCCGAACCTCCTTTTATTTACAGGCTCAATTTTTCAAATTGGGATCAAGATTTTTCTAATAAAAATTATCAGAACAAATTCCATATTAAAAAAAAACAATAATTGAACAAGAGCACCGTGAAAGAGATTCAAATCTTCAAATAAAAAAAATTAAAAAAGAGTATTAAATGTGATTGTGAAATTTTAAAACAACATATTTAAATTTAATTTTTTATGACTTTTAGAATTTCAAATAATAATGATAAAAAATCAAATTAAAAAATAACAAGAATAAATTCTGTGTTAAATAAATTTTTAATTTTAAAAAATCTAAATGCTTAAAATAAAAATAATCTGAACAGAAAAAATTTTAAAAGATTTGTTTCATCTATCCAAGAATTAAAACTTTCTGAATATCCTAACCATTTAACAAAAATTTTTTTCCCTTTTCTTTTCACTAGTTTCTCAGTTTTATAAATTTCATCTTGAGTTTTCATTGGATCTGTTGTACTTAACTCTTCTTCGAAGGATTTATCATATCCTCTTTTAAAAACCGTTTTAAATTTATAAATACGAACGAATCACCAATTTTAAATTTTGGCCTTTTTGATTTCTCTGGGCTAATATAAATTATTAATAACTAGAGCTTCGTTATCTTTATCGGAATCTTCAACAGGGGTCATTTTTATCGATCGATGATATGAATTATAATTTTTAAGTAATTTATCTAACATGACTATATATGTTTACTTCCAATTGCATCCACATATTTTCTAATGGTTTCTTTGAAAATCTTATTAAATCTCTCAACTGTAGCACATTTAATTTCTGCATTTTCTGCAGTATTTATATGCATATTATTACCTTAAACAATTGATGAGTATTTTTATGGATAAACTCTCTACATTAATCGGGCTGAATCTGCATGGGAATTCATTTTTTAAAAATCTTTTTCAACGTAGTCTTTCCTCTCGGGTTTTCATTTCTTCAGGTGACTTCAACATGTCTAAATGGCCTGGAGTTCATTTCTTCAAAAACTGTCAAACAGCATGTTAATAATTTCTTTATTAATAAACAAAGTCATTCTTTATGAATAAATAAAAAAAAGGGAGGGGGAAAGAAAAATTTTCCATCTGCCAAAGAGGTATTAAAAAGTCATAAAATAAAATGATACTTGTTTGATTCTATGAAAATTTCTTATGTATTTGTATTTATCATAAAAAAATCATAGAACTTTTTGGTTGATTCAATAATATTGGCTGTTTTGTTAGTTCCGCATGGCAATCCACCAACTGAAAGATTCAGCATTGTGCAGAAGAATCAAATTTAGTTTTAAGCTCAATTTATTCACTAACACACTGAATGTTTTTTGTGCAGCAAGTGAAATTAATTACTCAAAGCACTATTTATTACTAGAATAAGCATGTAATTGATGAGTTGGCTGCAGGAAAAAGGTACAACAAAGTTGAGTATCAGGTTCTGAACAGCTCCTTGGAGAAATGTATTTAAATTTTTTACTGTTTAATCTTTTGTTTCATGTACATTGAAAGTCATGCCTTTTATATAATGTAACATCCAGTTTGCTGTTAAATTTGTCCTTCCAAATCTGGCGAACACTTGAGTGTCACAATCATAATTCAGTTAAATATTAATGGTAGTTCTTGTCAAAGGCTGGCATCTGTGTATGTATGCAAATGCAATATGGTATGTATGGACAAATTTGTGTAAATAAATTACTTTATGTGTGTATTTGATTTCTCTCACTAGTACATATGCATTGATTTTATTAATATCGAAAGCCATATAGAAATCATTTCATTTATTTAGGTTGCAAATGAAATTATTGCCGATCTTAATTTAAAACCCGAAGAGACTTTGCTAGGCCAGGGTAAGTAAATTAATTGTAGTATTCAAATACTTGTAGAAAAAAAGTTATATTTTAAAAATGTACCTTTATCAAGCTTCATTTTTGTTGTATTATTTGTAAGTCTATATTCTCTGTTTATCTGCAAATAATGTTAGTATATGTATTCTGCTTATATTTCTTTAATGTGTAAAATGTTTTACTCTTGTTTTTTAATTAATTAAATAATCATAATTTTATAAATAAACATTTAAATGGATATTTTTGTTGAATATGAACAAACTTAATGCATACATTCGATCCTAATTTCATGCTAATTGAATTCAGCGATAAAATTATTTAAAATTTTGATTTCCATCTTTTACATTGTTAATAAGAAAAAAAGATATTTCTTATATCTGCTTTCATTGCTTAGATATTTGATATATATATTTTTATTCTACAAATTTGTGTTAATGTATAATTTTAAATGCATATAGGAACCCTCAGACCAGACCTTATTGAGAGTGCCTCAGCATTGGCAAGTTGTAATGCTGATGCTATTAAAACACATCACAATGATACAGATTTAGTTCGTACATTGAGAGCAGAGGGACGTGTTATAGAACCTTTAAAAGATTTCCATAAAGATGAAGTTAGAATTATGGGAAAGGATTTAGGCTTGCCTGATGAAGTGGTTCAACGACATCCATTCCCAGGTAGGTAAAAAATTTTCTAGCATTTCTTTACTTAAATATCTCATGATGTTACTTTATTCATTATATTATTGGTTTCCTTCTTTATATCAAAATTACCATTAAGTAGCTAAAGTTATTATTATTTCTTTGATGTATCTAAAGTTATTTTTTATAACATTTACTACTGTATTTCTTCATATATCCCCCCTTTTTTACCAATTTATTGAGGTGAAAATTATGTGAATAATTTAATTTCTGAAGGGCATGATTATAGTAAGAACATAAAAAATGAAAAGTAGCCGTAGGTAACCTACAAGTAACTATCAAAATTATTATTTCTTTGAAAAAATTCACATATTACAGTAAGATGCATAGTAGTATTAACATTAGAATATTTAATAAGATATCTTCATTTTAACTTAACTAACAAAAATGTACCTTTGGTACTTACAGTATTAGTGCAACTATCTTAGTAAAATTTACCTAATTTTCAAGGTGCATCAAACTCTAGCAATCATGCACATAACAGCTCTATTTTAACTAGCAACATCATTTTCTAATTATTATTATTTTTTTTTAAATTCCAAGTTCTATTGATTTTCAGTTTTTTTTTTTTTTTTTTTCGTGTTAGTCCAAAGGGGCTATGCCCCTGAATGACTATTGTTTTCGTTTTGCGATTTTGCGTTGGAACCCTATAAACGATGTATCACTTTTCAAATCGTTGCCACCAAATACTATCGCTCTGTATTATATTTGAAGAAATTAAATAATGAAGAATCTGCATAAATGTATGTATGTTTCTCGCATTGTGATAAAACAATAGTACCTAGAGCCGTCCAGTTTTGAATGACATAATCTTACTGTGAACATGGGCATCTGAAAGCCCAAATTTGAGATTTGGAATTTGTTTTATTATCGATTTCATATTTTGTAAAACTTTAACGAAATTTTGATTAACAAACTCAACAATTTAAAAGTGAGTAATGGCAACATTCTACAGGGAAAAAACCTTTGTATCTCCAGCATGTGGAACTGTGTATCGTAAATTTTAAAGATGTCTTCATTTTAAAATTATTTTTCGACATTGCTGTTGAACTGAATTTTATGGTTTAAGTGCAAAGAACATGATATTTAATAAATAAAATTAACACACAAAACATTAAAAAAACACCCCTTTGGACGTAATTTAAAATCTGAAACCTTTCAGATTTTATTAATTTTTTTATGTTAAACTCAGTTTTAAAGTTTGTGTTTGTAACAGTTGCTTTGCATTGTTTTAAAGTGTGTGTTTGTAACATTCCTAAAGTAATTACTGTCCAACCACATATTTCAGATTTATGTAAACATCCGGTTTGGGGCAGAAATGGGCATATCTATCTGTAATGTAGGGCTGAGTGCAGTAGTCCGGTTAGATTTAAATGGTTCTTCCATTTCACGCTCTATCTTTCGAGTGCTGCGCAACAGAAAATTTTTGTTTGCGCTTTATACATTTTAAGGTGATGTACCGTGAAATTTTAAAATTATAGAATTAAATTAAAAGGCATAGAAACATCAGATCGTGACATTTCAAAGAAAAACCATTAAAAGAACTGTAATAGTAAACTATTTGCCCTTATACAATTCGTCATCAGTTTGTAAATATTTTAATAGATAATATTATTTAATAATAATTTAATAGATAACAAATTAATAATTTAGATAATGCATCTTAGTTAATTTTTAATATTTTCAAACATTGAAAGAAAAACTTTTATCTGTTAAATATTCTTTAATAAATTACATTTATTAATAATCAAATGATTTATAAATAAAAGAAGCAGTTTAATGAGAAGATGTTGCATAAAAATTATTTTAGTTTTAATTAGACATACCATACCTTTTTTCCGCCTTTGCACTTATTTTGGTGACACTGCATTAAGGGTCCTCGGAATTCGTAGAGAATTCAGAATCCGAATTGTCGCTGACAGTAAAATTCAATAGTTCACACAATTCCTAATACCATCTTTTCTCCAATATTCAGTTTCTAAATTCTTTACATGATCACGGTACTTCTTCCAATTTTTCACCGAAATACCTTCAATAGCCTCATTTGTGAAACGTAATAAATTCAACATGATTATATCTGCAGTCGTTTTCTGACTTCGAACATAATTTTTTACTTCAGCCCGTACATCTTCTATGGCGTTTATGTCACAGTGATATGGTGGGAGTCGCAGAACTGTATGGCCTTTTTCTTTCATTATACAAATCAAATTTGAAAGTTTTGACTTTAAGAGCATTTTGTTTCACTTAAATCCAGCAGATTTTCGCACCACCTTTTCGCAAATTCAGTCAAAAAGAAATGTTTTTTGTCAGCCACTGCATTATATCATTTTTTGGGGGAGGCATTAGGGGTTTTATTTAGCTGCACCGAATGATAAGGTACATTAACAATAATTATAACGGAATTTGGCGGTAGGTTTGAAATTAACTTCTCGTTTGCCCGTTTTTCTGTGATAATAGCCAGTTTCAGAGTTCACGTTATAATTAAACTAGTATTGGGAATGAAACCCATCTCACCACCAGCACATAAAATTATTATACGTCGAGCGGCATTTCACGTTTCTAAAATCCCACTGACTTCATTTGATTGCCAGCATTTTCCAAACGTTAAACTGCTGTCCACCCATGTTTCATCTATGTAAATTAGGGAACGGGATTCTTCTGTACCTTTTAATATTCTTCAAATACATTGTTCTTGACAAAACAATGTCAGCTCTTTTTAATAAAACACTACTTTTATTCCGGGACTTTTTCCAGATAAAACCAATTTCTTGGAGAATCTTTCTTAGCGTTTCTCTTTGCCAAGGAAAATTGATTGTGTCTTTTAATATAGGAAGCAGTTTGGTTATAGTTGGCACTTTCTTTTCATTTCTTTAAAGACATAAAAGTCTTGAACTGCTTGTCCTAAAATATCCAAATCAAAATTATCTAAGCCTGTACTTACAACAATTTCTCTCATTTTTCCTTTTTTTAGGGAAAGAGAATTCAACATTTTCTTTACTTTCAGATTCTGTTTATGTTGACAATAGAAACTCCAGTCATCTTACTCGCTCTGCGTGTTGGCTGCGAAACTGGGATGGTCAGTCTTCCTAATTGTGATTCTTCATCACAAACTTTAATCACGTTATGCACTAATTTCTTAAAATCGCTGCGGAAGGGTTTATTTGTAGAGCTTTCTAGAACACTAGAACTCATCGTAAAAATGAAGATTTGAAAGTAAAAGAAGGTCAGTAACAGCGATGCTCAGCAATTGTAAGAAAAAGCACTAAATGACCCCCGACCTCTGAGAGTAAAAAATACCCGTGCTTTTCACTCACACGCTGTGCTATTTCTTAAACAATTTGAAGTAAACTCCAATGATAGAACACAGCAATAACTTTTATTTTACACTAAAAAAAAAATGGCGACATACAAACAAGAGAAGGTATAAAAACTTATTTTTAAAAAATAATTACATGCTTTGTACGAGAAAATGCATGCAGCTCTTGAGCCTGCATTTTCATTATTATTGTTATTGTTATTTATTATTCATCTATTTCAAATTGTGAGCGATTAATAACAATATTAAAGCTGTTACAACTGCTACGACCTCCAAAGGAGAAAAATACCCACACTTTTCACCCACACCCCTTCATTTAAACTGACCCATCTTGGTTCTCAGCCAAACTGCTCTTTCTAGTGTGGTTAGACAGTACTTGAAATTTCTGTCAGATCTAAGGAATGAAAGTTGTATGTATATTTTGAAAGTATATGGTTGATTTCTGAAATAAATATCTAATAAAAATGTAAAATATGTATTGGGTTGTTGAATCAATTTTCACTGTTTTTTTGTGAAAATTAATGCGTTTTAAAAAAAATTAGTAAAAAATATGACTAAAAAGTATTGTCCATTGTTAGCCATTATTTTTTCCCATAGCATTTTCTGGTAGCAATTGAAGACTCAGGTGTTAGAAACACTTGTCAGCAGTCACCCGAGTGATAAAACCACATCCTGTATCGAGCACGTGCGAAAATGGCATAACTTTTCTACCCTAACAGGACGAAGTTCGTAGTTAAGATAAAAATCTTGTAAAAGTGCGATGTTTGAGCCTTCAGATACAGCAGGCCTTGAGATAGTTCTCCTAAAGATATCCGGTGGTGTAAATGCAATTTCCCTACCGTTACCCTAAACATGCAATAAGGTATATCTTGTGCTATGTGCAATCGTCAGAATGGCGAGAGCTCTGAGTAGAAAGGCGCTGTCTCTGGAGGTACTTTTTTGCAGGGGGCGGAGCTACTGGTCGTCTTGTCCAATGGTGAACCTGTAAAGGAAGTGCATCTACTTGCAAATCAGGCATTGGTTGGGGGAGGGATTAAAAAAGGAATAACATTGCGATCAAACATAGAGAATTGGAGTAAGTCTATTTTACTGTAAAAAGATCATGGAATGCAATAATAGTTGCCCTAAACGTCTATTGAATTAAATTAAAATAAAGATTAAGTTGGAAAAAGTACAAAATAACTGAAAAATTTTAAGACATAACTTTTAGACAGCAATTGAATCCTACATTAGAAAAATGACACATCTTTTGAGGCAGTCGGCTCTTTTTTTTTTTGTCCTACTCATAAGAATGAAAGTGTTGCTGAATCAGGTGATGTGCCATTGATGGGAACAAGCGATAATTAGAAGGGGCAATGTCTGATGAATATGGCAGGTGGAGTAGGACTTCTCAATTAAGCATTTTCAAGAGGGTTTTTAACTGGTTTTGCAACATGTGGCCTAGCATTGCCATGCTGCAAACCAGTTGATCCCATCAAATGCAGAACAGAAGCTTGGAAACATGGATATGTGCCTTTACTGATGATGTTGATGCATAGCTGGGCTTACCTCATGATTCATATCGTAGTATAGTAGCCCACCAGCGGCCGAGCGGTAAAGACGCTGAACACTGGTAGTTCGGTCCGAGGTTCGAATCCCGCGAACGGGCTGGCTGCATGGGTGTTTTCGTGGTTTTCCCCATGTGTAACGTGTATACGAGCCAGTTTCCCTTAGAAGTCCTCCATGAAAGGCATCCCTCCCCTTAGGCAGATAGCCCTAATATGCTTTGCCGTAATTAAATGCGCACATATTGTAGTATATCCATTTTTTATCACCAGTCATGATACAATGCAAAATAACTCCCCTTTTCTGCCACTGAAGCAGCTGGTTCACACATGAAAAGATGTTGTTAAATGTCCAACGGATACGACATCCAGTGGCATTGCGTTTGAATCACTTTTAATCCTTTGAAACATTTTGGAACTGTTTTGTAATCAGCTAAAGATTCTGAAAATACCGCTAGCATCTGACATGAGTCTTCATGGAGCAATGACTCAATTCTTCATCTTCATATTTTTCTGGTTGGCAGAATATTCTCGATCTTCAAAATCAAAATAATTGTTTTTAAAGCACCAATCTGTGCATGTTGTTTCTGACAGAGCATGGTTACCGTAAGTCTTGACAAGACTTCTGTGCCCTTCAGCTGTAGTTTTTACTGCCATGAAATTTGTCATATTTAACGCTATAAAAAGGAAATTGTTTTGCACTTTGGTGAAAGGACAAGCACTAAACTTTAAGCTAGCCTATATACTTTCATATAGATGCATCACCATATTAAACTACATGCACACAGTTTTACTAACGCCATCTGTTGAAAACAGCATAAACTTATTCACTCTCCTAATAATTATATGCATCAAAATTTTTGTAGCAATAAAAAATTTTTTGTAGTTGCAAGTCATTATTCTGTTTCTTCAGTAAAAAATTACTAAACTGCAGAAAGGTGATTGTGCTAATACATAAATACCTGTTATTTTTAGAATTTTATCTTAATGGCATGATGTGAATAATATTAATGAAAATAAGGAACTTGCATGCAATTTGGACCAATGCAGGTGATGTGCCAACTTATATGAATCGGATAAAGATCCACAATTGTAATATTTTTATAATCAAGGAATATGTAAATGTGTGTTTCAAAAGTGTTTTTATTGTCCAAATTTTGGTAGGTTGTTCATATTACCCACTTCCTTTTCAATGTTCTTTTACACCTCTTCAGTGCCTCCTGGTGGGCAATAACATTCAGACTGGGAAGTTGCTGTAAGGCAGTTATGAGAGGTATAGTGTGGTTGAATATTCTAATACTATGTATAACTAACTATACATAAAATTCCAAATATCTCCTTAATTTGATCATATAAAACTAGTTTTTTTGTCATTAAAGTATGATGATGATGCGGAAAATAAGAGCTTTAACTTTCTATTTAATCAAAAGTTTTTCGTACCTGTAAGGTATTTTCATGATGATCTAGATCAATGGTGCCAAATATTTTAGCTTCATGACCTAGGTGTAATCTATCACGACTCTCATGCATATAATTGCTTTGGAGGGGATAGATTCTTTGAAAAAAATTTGGTAGTGATGAAAAAATAATAAAGCATGTATAGCTACTTATGATTAATTGATAATTATATATTAATTCATAGTAACTTGTAGATAATAGTGCAGTAAGAAAAATAATATCTTGAAACTTTTCGTGATCTAAAAATTTTTTCGTAACCCAAGCTTTGGGAGCTGTTGATCTAGTTCAATTTCGTTTATGTGTAGCTTAAATGTTGTTTAACTGTTTTCTTTAGGTCCAGGTCTTGCTGTTCGAGTAATTTGTGCTGATGAGCCATTTATGGATAAATTTTTCTCTGAAACTGGTGTTCTTATTAAAGTTATTATAGAATATGCAACATCTGTAGAAAAAGTAAGTTGGATAGAGTAGACGAAATATTTTTGTTTTGAAATTCCTGCATACTTGTTTTATGAGCAGCAAAAATTTATTTGCTGGTATCATTTTATTTATGTAATCAGTTGCTTAATTTTCGTAATATTTCATGCATTTAATTGATATTTCTTTGTTATACAGAAACATACTCTTATTAATAAAATAAAGGATAGCACATCAGAAGAAGAACAAGCATTTCTGTCAGCTGTATCAACTAAATATAAGCTTACATCTACACTTTTACCAATCAAAAGTGTTGGAGTACAAGTAAATTTTTTTATTTTATAACATCTTAAAATTTAAGATCATTAGAAGATAAAAATTTCTCTTTGTTTTAATAATTGATTATATTTTTTAAAATTTGCTTTGAGTTGAAATTGATTTGATTAAAATTTTCTTTCAACGTGTTACTTTAATTTTTGCAGTCTATTATAATTTTCATATCATCACTTTAAATTTTAATTCATTATTTTATTCTTAGGGTGATCAACGAACCTATAGTTATGTTGTAGGTTTATCTTCAAAAGAAGAAATCACTGAATGGGAGGATTTAATGTCATTAGCAAAAATAATCCCTCGTGTTTGTCATAATGTAAACAGGTGAGAAACAGTTCTGTTAGTTAAGTGTGTACCATTCATGTAAATTTTGTTTGTAAACTAATTCAATAAAAGTATTTTTAAATTTTGTATTTTAATATGAAGAGTGCATTGAAAAGGTAATATTAGTATTTAACTGTTTCGTATCGATATTGCCCCAAATGCCCGACCATTCAGACATTGGCAGGTTGCCTGAACCATTTCTACCTAGTTCTTTCCCCCAATCACGTTATTGCATTGCTCATTGCTTTCAGGAGTTGTTAAATGACATGCCAATAATTCTTTTGAAGTGACTAAAAGTAGTTTTGTTATTTTAATGTCTTTCCCTTCTTTTTCCTTTGTGTACTATCAATGTTTAGCTATTGATGCCCGAAGTTGTAATCCCATCCCAAGGGGGAACTTTAGAGTGAAAGCATCCAAGAAAGAAGTTGTCGCTTTACTTAAGTAGGTTATTGTTAGCGCAGTAGTATTAAATTTGTCACGGGGAAAGGAAAAGCATTCCTAGAGAAATTTGTATACATGGGTGTTTTCAATGTTTAAGGAAAAGAGCTTTGGTCCTATATCAATGTGAAAGAGTTAAGTATAGTATTGTAAATGATTAAAAAATTAAATTTTCTCAAAATGTTTGTATCTTGCTTTAATTTAATCAAATATAATCTTGTTTAAATTAAATAGAAAACCCATTTGTATGGCATTTTTTCAAGCTATTATTCTTGAAGGTACTTTATTATATAAGTCTGAGTTTTATGTAAGTTAAATTTTATTCCTTTGAGGTGTCTTTCAAAAACTTAAAATCTTTTACATTCAATATGATGCAGTCAGGGGAATCTTATCATTAATTTATAAAGTCTGTATTGACTTTTAATGAATTAAGTGAATGATGTATACATTAGTATCTATGTGCAATACATTCCCAGATTTTTTGTAGATATGTGAAGCTGAAAATAACTGCAAATGCTGTTAAAAATAGATATTCTTATAATGTGCTTAAAATACAGTCAAGTTTAATTATTAAGTATTTGCTGTTAAGACATTAATAGCATTAAATAAAGTAATAATAAAGACACTACATACTGCGATATTAAAGTATTGCTAAATATGCTGTATATCGCAATCTATTTTTTACTTTTTTTCTTGTACATATGAAAGTAAGAAACTTTTATGTTTCAGTTTAATATACAAAAGATGAGTAAGAAATAAGGAGAATATACTATATTGTATAGTATATTGTTTCAAAGGATGGTAGAAATCATATTCATTCTTTATCAAATAAGTAGTGATAAATCATATAGTTATTTCTGCACTAATTAGAATAAAGAGACTTCTAGAAGAAAAGTAGATGCAATATAGTAGAGAGATGTGCAGTCAGTGGGCATAGGCTGTAAATACACTTAAGGTTCTGCAGTGACCATTATCATCCCCCCATATTTAGTTATATTGATTAAAAAATAATTATGCAGATGTCCATGATTAGTGTGGTTAGACAACAGTATTCTACATGTATAAGCTGCTGGTTTTTGTCTTGTAACCTTATTATCACTTGGTCTGTAATTCAAAGTCCCCTCTCCCTTTATATAAACCATGGGTATCAAGTCAATGAATAAGGGGGCACGGCTTTAGTTTTGTAATTTGATGCTAGATACTTTTTCTGTGAACTTGTACTATATTGGGTTTAAGCATCGCCAAGAACTTAGCTTCCATTAAATCTAGATCATTTAAAAATAGCACACGGCATGTAACCCTTCATTTCTACAGAAGAGTGAAGAATCAGGTTTGTAGTAGAAATGAAGCATGAGATGCTTCACTTCTATGATATAAAAGCCAATGTTGAGAAAAGCACCTAAATCTGTAGTTAAAGAATGTTTCTAGTAGATTAGATATTTAATTACAGTAAGTGTTATTAATTTCAAAGGTATATGAGCTTTGGGTAATGCAATTTTAGAATTGTCTCATAATCCCTGGTTAAGTTATATAAGTTTTCACTAGATGGCAGTTCCTCATAATGCCATAATATATTATTTTTTAAAATCTTAAGTAATAAGTAAATAAAGCAATAATAATAAATGAGTAATAAGGAAGTAATAAATGAATTAATAACACTGTAATTATATATCTAGTAGATTAGATATGTAATTACAGTAAGTGTTATTAATTTCAAAGGTATATGAGCTTTGGGAAATGCAATTTAGAATTGTTGTTTTATAATCCTCTCTTAAGTTATATATGTTTTCACTAGATGGCAGTTCCAGTGCCATAATATATTATTTTTTAAATCTTAAATGAAGTAATAATTTGCATATGTTATTGTTTAAAAGGCTATTAGTCTCAAAATAATGATTTTACTTTGATTCTCTTTAAGTGTGTTGTTTCACTTTTCATTCATGTCTGTTACCATTTGGCAAAATGTAAGATCACTTAAATTTAATCTGCCTGTTATTGGTTAACAAACTAAGTTATTTAACCCTCTGACTGCCCAATTTGTAAACCGAAACAGCTTAAAAAATTGCTGTTCCCCCCCCCCCCCATATTTTGAATCTATATATATTGGAGAATTGAAAAATGCATTTTTACTTTCTAGAAAATATTTTGTATAGATTTTTATCATGAGAAACTAAGTTGCCAGAAAAACCAATTTCAGATGCTATCATTCAAAAAAGGTTTTTTTTTTTTTTTTTTTTTTTTTTTTTTTTTTTGTAATAAATTTCAGTTGAATTTCTATTTATTACGTAATACAAAAAGTAAAATGTATAAAATTTAAGAAAATATAAAGCACTGAGAAAAAAATGCCTTAGAAATGCAGTTTAGTATGATAGAGTTCAAAACAAGGTTCAAGGCAAAGTCCAACTTCACAGTCTTTGCACCAGATTCGTGTTTCTTTTTGAATTTTTTTTTCCCATTTGCATCTTTTCTTGAACAGCACACTGTCTTCAAGGCTCTCTTTTTATGGGTTTAGGTGGTAGTGGCTTGCAAAATGATGAGATGTCAATCTGAAAGGATTCAGAGTAGGACTCGGTATTCCACGACAATCGCTTTTATCTCTATCAGAATACTTTTGGATACTTTTTTCAACCATTTGCAAACAAAATTTCAAAAGCTTTATATTTTGTGTTGGGTTTTGCTTTTTGTAAAGAATATATGCATTCCACAATGATTGATCTAAAAACTGCCTGAAAATTTTTATATAATACTTCCCCTATTGCTTTCAGAGCGTAGGTTAGTAAGACATTTCTTGGTTGCATAAATCGACGCCACCCATTGTATTATTATAGTCACAAATGACAACTGGTTTCATAACAGTCTTTTTAGATTTACATGTCACCAAATTAGAGCTTGCATCATGAATAGTACTCATAAAGCAGATATTCGTCTTGTCCTGCCACTTCAAGGCCATAACTTTACGTCTTTGGTAAGCAACAGTTTTACCCTTAGGGACTTTCTCTTTTGAAAAATTAACAGGGAGGTCTTTTCTGTTTTTATTCACTGTCCCATAAGTGTCCATCTTTTCTGTAACTAAGATGTCTGCAAGCTGTGGAGACATATAAAAATTACCAATAGTGACACAATAACCTTCTCCCAGGAATCAATCCATCAAGCGTAAAACAATTTTGGTGGATATTAGATATTGGGTGTATTTCAGATTATACACTGTTCCATCACCTGTGTATATGAGGAAATCTGAAATGTATCCACTTTCTGCTTCACAAAGAATGAAAAACTTCAAACCAAATCTTGCTCTTTTTTTGGTAATAAACATTTTCCATTTGAGCCTGCCTTTAAACCGCATCAAACTCTCATCTAAACTAAGATTTTTCCCTGGTATATAGACTTCTTGAAATTTGCTTTGAAAATGTTCCATTAGTTCATAAATTTCATTCAATTTCGGCCATGAGTGTCCATCTTTATCAAATCCCTCATTATTAGTAAAATGAAGAAACTTCATGAGCAATAAAAACCTGTTCCTTCCAATTACTTTTGCAAAAATTGGTGTGGATAATATTTGGCACTTAGACCAATAATACTCTTGTTCTGGCTTCTTTATGACTCCTTGGAGTAACAAAATTGGCAAAAATAGTCTCAGTTCATCAACATTCATGTCTGTCCAATTTTTCCAACGTGATCCTTCTTTACAAACTGTTTTATTGATATATTGTTCAGTGTTATCTATTGGTTTCTTGGACTATCATTCGTAATATTTGATCATTAAAAAAAATTCAAAATAATTCAATATACTTGCACTGTTAGCTATGTTCACAGTAATTCCCAAATTTCCACGAAAAGGAACTGGAGGAGGAATAATCTTCATATCAATTTTGCACCAATGCGTAACGCTTTGCAAGTTTATTGAATCATGATCTGCTATTTGAGGAGCAGTCCGAAAAATCTATATCGCTATTGCTATCAAAACTAAAATCGCTTTCAGAATCTGATAAGTCATCAGGAATATACTCTCTGTCAATCGCTAAACGTTTTGTAGCAGCCATTTCTGCAAAATTTGTTCATGTTCTAATAGGATAACGCTCCTAACTATAATATACAGCCGTAAATGTTAATTTGGGGTGATTATACAACTGCCCTAAAGTTGTAGAAACTCCTCTGTATTCTCCAGACTGAAATCCTATTGAACATATATGGAGTGAGTTCGAGAACGACTAAAGATGACATTTTTCAGAAAAACTAAAAGCAATTTTTCTGTGCATGAAAAATCCAATTTTGGCTAAAGGTTTAACTAAACTAAACACAGTGGCGCAACAGCTGTAGTGGGCCAAGACTTGCAGTGCTCCAAAATCTGCTTTTTTGACTGTAGGCCCTGGGAAGCCTGAGCATATGCCCTGAACAAGTGGTCAGCTTGTCGCAGGACCCCCAGTGTTTAGTCGCTGTGCCACCGGACCTCTTAGCTATAGATTAACCACCAAAATATTAACTGTCTAGTTATTTTCAAGTTTTTATTAAATATAAACAATTTGTTTCAAGTTATTTGTTTTGAATAACTTTTTTCAGAACAA